TTAACCACGCAGACTCATGCTGGCAGTGTTTTGGCCTTTTCCTGCATGTACAGACACACACACACACGCAGAGTAACGAGAGGTTGAAAAATGTGTATACGCACAGCTTCATAATAGTTAGGAACTTGTGAAACCGTGCACGAGAAAGAACACACACATACACACACGCACACACACACATGCACACATACGCACACACACATAGACAACTCCGTGTCAATATTCGTAATGTACTACTATTACACAGCACAAAATGCATAAAAATGAAGTTTCAGGTGACGGGAAGAGAGACGCTATGGCAAAGGTATCGCCTGATATTCAGTGGCTTATAATTCGCAAGACATCGTCATTCCTGCATCGGCAACGTGGCATCCCCAAGCATTTCAGCCGTGAGCGTTTCAACATCAAAGGAGTGAATAGCATTCGTTTCAATGGATTGATCCACAAGAAAGGACTGGATATTCAGGCAGCGCCGGACAGTAAGGGTATCGTCGTAACAACAAAGAAACGAAGTAAGTTAAATTTGATTTTTTTTTTGGTTCATATTGGTGACTCGTCATTGGAATAATGCTTTTTTGATTGTATTGGACTTGTGGATAGCTATACCTACTTGGGAAAAACAACCCAAATAAACAGTGAACATCATTCGAAGCTGAGGAAAAAGAAAGTGCAGAATAGATAGCCTATATTAAGTACGAAACGCCTTTTTCAACAGCAGTCCAGCACGTAGTGCATAGACGTATTCAGGACGGACTCCTGCAGGGGGCGACGGGGAGTAGGGGAGGACGGGGGAAAGCTCCCTCCCATCCTGGACTATGCAAAAACTAGGAATAAAGTTGTAACACTGCTACTTAGAGTTAGTTACTTTAGTTTCATTTAGGAACAGACCCAGGCTTTTCCAATACTGCGCCTGTGCTGCTAGAGGAAGAGGACAAAGGGTCTCCCCCCCCCCTCCTCCCCCCAACCTTTGAATCTGCCTGTGGAATCGTTGGACCTATAGACACTTCGCAGTTCTAACAAATTACCAGTTTTTTTGCATAGTATTGGTATAGGAGATACAGCGATTGTTAGACAAAAAAAGTTAGCGATGACCAAATGAGCCATGAATCGATACGTAGTAGATGACAGCAGGTCCCAGCTGTGTTTAGTTTTAACGAAGTATTAAAGTCGGATAAACGATTTTATCGAGAAAGAGGAAGTAGGCCGGGCATGTGCAGAAATGAGAGACAGCAGGTGGACAAAGCGCATTACCGGACAAATTTAGAAAAAACGCCAGTGGGGTATAAAAATCTATTTGCATGCCCACATATTTGTAATTTTGTCAGTCTGAAAGTCTTTTGTTTAGCAAAAACTGCGCTTCCTGTGAATTCGACCGTTTCGGTGACGCTGAAGAAGAACAGTCGAAAATCGTTGAAAAGCGTGAAAAATATCGCATATAACTATCGAAATGCACACAAAATGGTTTGTTCTTACTTGATGAACAGAACTAAGTACACTTCGAGCAGGAAAAAGTGTCTGTAACAGTGATTCATCATTTTTACGTGTCCTACTCCGTCCCGGGGAGCTGAAGCGTAGTCCTGGCCCTACCTTTTTCATGGATTGTAGTTATCGCAAGATGTTTCATGGGTCCTAAATGGTCTACTTTTTTAAACTCTGAATAAATACGGAGAAGGGATGGGGGGAGTTTACTCCATGACAATCTGCAAATTGCTTTTGGTGAATCACAGCAAATAATTTCACTTTTTAATCAAAATTTTCACTCGGTAAGCCGATTTTACCGGTTTTGAGAACAAAGTGCAAAGCAGTGAAAATCACTAACATGCAAGCATTGGGTGAGCGGAATTACACAAAACACAAAATCGCACCGGTTATTCTGGTGTGCGCTGCTATTTATTATTACTTATAATTTTGATTTATATCGCCTTTTTTGTTTTTGCTGAAAAACATGCCGCTAAGATGAGTCGAAGATGAGCGAGCGCGGATGGGCCTCTCATTAGTGGCGCAGTAGCATGTGATGTTACATATAATTATTCTAATACAATGCATTACAGTGAAAGCTTGGTGCTGAAACTGAGTTTGTTTTGGTTAGGAGGTGCTAGTTTTACGATTATTGCATGTTTAGCTTTGGACTTATCTTCGATGAGAAGTGATAAAAGAAAACTAACATATTTCATTCATCGCGTTTGTTGTTGCAGCTGGCTCAGAAACGCGCCTCGCAGATCCTTCGCTCACAGAAACCAGTAGTGTCGCGCCGTACTCGAAAAGCCGATGTTTGATAACGATGCTAATTATTCGATTTTATTCTTGTTGTTGTCGTTATCATCTCCCATTCATAAAAAAATTCGTTGATTTTTTGCGAAACATGAAAAACACGGGTGCATTG